TCCCTATAAGCTAAGGTAGCACATACTGTGATATTTATAGAAAGAGAAAACATGTTTTTTAATAAAAAATAAAACCAAAAATACATTTTTGCTAAAAGGCATCGTAACTGTAATTGTAATCCACAGTCAGGACTGATTGTTAATGGTATGCTGCAAATCCTGATCTAATGTGTCATAATTGTATTATGCTGATGTCTCTCAACATTTCACTTTCACATATTTTCAGTACTGAATTATGCCTCATTTTATGTTGTGAAATCTTAAATGGGACTTGTCACTTTCCCAAACACAGAAGACAGTCTTAAACCTGATGTCGTAAAATCAACACACTAAGGCAGAAAACTCCAGAATTTTTAAAATTAAATGGACAGAAGATATTAATGCCCCCTCTACTACTTTATTTTCAGTTACATCATTTAAAGGGAAACTAAATAACAGAATGAGCGTAGGGCAATTTAAAGAGCTCGCTTCCAACTCACAGGTTTATTACTACGTGGCACTGTTGAGAGCCTGGGCAAAATAAGCTGGTGCCCTCGCTGCAGATCCCCGGGACAAACGTCCCAACTGTCTCCAAAACCACTTTCACAACTAGACTCAGAGCAGCTTCACAAACTAGCCAAAAGGAGAACAGACACGAGAGGTGGATCTGCTTCTGTCTTGTGAAACAAAGCCGGCTAGAACCAACTGAAACAGTGCTGTTGGGATGGGGAGTATTCATATTTCATGAAGCCCAAAGAGCAGTTCAAGGCTAACAAGGTCCAGACACCAACATCCTGTCTTTGAAGAAACAACCGAAGGCGGATCATCCTCTGGTTCCTAACAAGTCCTCTTTTAAAGGCAATACAATAACATTTTGAAAAGTGCAAAGAAAAAATATTTCATGATTTTATGTTCAGTTCTAAAAGCATCTTATCAATACTTGCAGGTAAGTTTCATTACTCTAAATAACACCAGAAAACAGTTTGTTTAGTTTTGTAGGTTAGCTGCTCCCTATTGGTGTAAAAATATTAAAACCACTTAAGTGCAATTGGTTATATTTTGCACTCATGCTAGAAAAATGCTTATTGAGCCAGAAACTAACAAGAAAGTGAAAACATCCAGAAAGCAAGCAATTTCACTATATGCAATGGATTCACTTTACAGCTTAAAAACTGTTTAAAAATGAACACTGCATGGTAGAGTAGTTTGGCAGTAAACATGATTGTGCATTTGTGTCTTGGTATTGAAGAAGGAGCCTTTTTTCATAGTGAATTTTTCATTCAAATGTAAGCGATGATTTACGTTAAATATAGGTAAAGCATAGCTACATTTTCCTGAAGGATTGCAAGGAAGTGAAGAGCAGTACAATAAGTTGAAGCATAAAAGCTTTCTCTGTCATAATATTTATTATAATGGCATATAAAATAGCTGAAATAAATAATAGATGACTAAAAGTAAATTCATATGATAAAGAATCTTTCAGCAGACACCATTACTTCTGACTGCTCCAGTTTCATACAGAGTTGAAGAGTCTTAATAAATATGCTGTAGTCCCTGTATCTTATGTAAGTACAAGTCATTTTGTAAGGGCCTACTTAAAATGCAACATAGTGGACACTAGATAATTTACCGTATAATTTTATTCTCAAAAAATATCATGTATATATCTTTGATATTTAAAAGTCCTTAACTCAAAACTGAATACATAGCACAAAAACAAAAATATCTGACTTTGAGAAACTGAAAATATAATAAATTAGTAAAAAGCAGTTCAATTTGATAAAGAAAAATCTTGATTACAACATCTTGGAAATCAAATAGTTCTTATATGCAGTGTGTGAAACAGAAAATCTTCAGCAAAAAAAATAATTTGACCTCAAACCTGATGGAAAGTCTGTGGAATTATCTTAAAATAGGTAAAGTAAACAAATAACCAAAACTCAGCATATGACAAGCAATGCCCAAATAAAACCATATTTCCATGTTGAGGACAAAGTACAGGATGTTTTAGAAGCACATCTGACAATTTGACACATAGCTTACGACAGTCAATAGCCAGTGCCATGCACTATTTATGGAGGTACCTAATAGGGAAAAAGGCTTTCACTCAGAATTAGGACCGTAAGTATTATTGTCCCTAATGTAGTCAACATTGGG